CCTGAAGAGTGACACACACACCCCGGCAACTCCGAGGCAGGTGGGGGGGGGGGGGGCTGGAAGGATCAGGGAAGCATTTAAATGCCTCCCGTGCCTTTCCCGGTCTGTCCAAGGGCTGGCTTGTCCGGGTGCCCTGCAGCTGTGGGGCACCCGGGCAAGCCAAGGGAAGGCATGGGGTGTGGCCTAATAGGCTAATGAGCTGTGCTGTCAGGGGTGTGGCCTAATATGCTAATGAGTTTCTGATATTGGGTGTGGCCTATTATGCTAATGAGTTCCTGCTGGGCTTTTTCTACAAAAAAAGCCCTGGCTATTAAGAATATAAAATACATGTGCCAATATGAATTCAAATGTACATGCAATTGCCACCTTGTTTGCACACAAATCTGGGGACATTGTCCATTCTATAGCACAGAGGAAGTCTGGAACATGGAGCCAGCAATAGCCTCACTGGATATTTACCACAGCTCAGAACTGTGAGTGTGGTATTGCAGTATGATATTGCCCATAATCCAAGTTTTGAAAAGATACATAAACACATGTCTGGGATTACACTTTTTCTGGGATTTGTATCTTGCTCATGTTCTGACATTTTTCAGAAATCATGGCTCACCCCCAGCTGAGGAGGAAGAAAAATTCAGAAATGTGGGATAAACTGTTTCAACGGATGTCTGCATTTGTAGGAATGGTCACCACATCCCAAAACAAACATCTCATGGCTTACATGACAATTGTTGATTGAATTGTTTCTCTCAACTATACTATTTCCCCAAAATGGAGCTGAGCAATGTTAGGAATAACAATAATTTTGCTAAGTAACACTAACAACGAGTCCTATGAACCAGCTAGTGTGAAAGAGATGCAATGAGTCTCACAATACGAAATTCAATTATGGTGTCACCAATATTTAAAAGATGTATTGATTTGTCTTGCCTTAATACAGACTTTCTGTCGGGTACATTTTTATCCCACCCTCCCCCCAAGGTGCCCAGGTTCTCCCTAATTTTATTCTCACAAGAACCCTTTGAGGTAGGCTAGGCTAACAGCGAGTAACCAGCCCACCTTCACTCAGCAAGCTTCATAGTCCAGTAATCTAACCATCATATCATATGATCAAATAACAACACACCCACACTCCACGTGTAACTTTGGATAGTTCGGTGGAAGGGGTTTTGCACCTTATCACATGTATTCTAATATCAAGAAATTCCCCTAAACCTTAATCTGCAAATTACATTACATCCCTCGGCAATGAATTCCACAATTCAATTATTCATTAAGGGATTATTTCCTTTTCCTTATTAAACCTCCTCCTTCAGTGATCTTTTGTATTCATCATGCTCAATGACAAACTTCCCTCACAGCAGCACCCCAAAGCCTTTACACTTGCTACCCTAGGGTCCCGGTCACACGGGCCATAAAATGCGGGGGGGGAAGCATGGCAGTTTGGCCCGGAGCAAAATAACGTGTGGCTGCCCGATCACACGTCCCGTTGAGGTCCCGTGGGTAGGGTCGAGGTGGCAATCACACAACGATCCTGCAGTGTGACAAAGAAGCGGCGCGGCACAATCTCACCAACGGCATGCGCAATTCTGTGGAGCAACAGAACTTTCGCTTTCCTCTTTGTGCGCATGCGCAGTTGGGTGCTTGTGTGCATCCTGTGGAGACTTGGGGGGGGAACACCTGTTTGCGACGGGACATGGGCAGGTGCCGGATGCCACGGACTACCACCGGTACTAGTTTTTAACTCCGCATCTTCGGCGGGAAGCCTCGGGTTCGCCATGGGAGCTCTACGCTTCCCTGATGTTGCAGTGTGATTGCGCCCGGAAAATCCGCCTATCATCTGTCTTAGTAGCGTGGCTAATGCTCCGTGTGACCGCAGCCTAGGAACATCTTGTAACTGAAGGGAAAGTTTGTATCACAAAACCAAGCAGGTCCCCCAGATTCACCAGAGAGGCAGTGTGGGTCCCCTCAGTTTCAAGAAAGGGGTGGTTTGTTCGACTCATCAACTTCATTAGGTGTCCCAGAGCTGTAGTGTTATGAGTGAGGGCAGTTTTCTATGTCTGCTTTCTCCCCCCCCCCCCTTTCATAACTTTATGAACTCATACAATGAGTTTGTATTGCTTCTGTGACAACAGAGACACAAGGAGAGACACAGCACTGAGCAGCTGGAGGGAGTATCACAGTGCTATGGCACATAAACTGTTCTGTGTACTTTTGCAGCTATGCCTATCCACAGGATCAGGGAGCCAACCTGTGATCGTAAATACTCAGCTAGTAGTACTGATTTTATCATGTTTAACTTGTATGCCATCCTTCCTCCAAAGGCTGCCAGGAAGACAAGACTCAGGACTACTGAGTTTTAGACATAACTCTATATAAGAGACAACTTCAGACCATTTATTTCCTACCCCCCAGAATGTACTAAAATCAGAGTACGTAAGCAAAAACATTTGGTGTAAATTATGTAGAAAGGCAAGCACTAATCTGATCATTCTTTGGGCATTTTTTAAAAGCTGTGTCACTTCAGGGCAATTAGTGCTTGGAATGTTGTTTTGTTTTCCTAGGTAAAAGAATAAAGTGAAACTTTTTTCCTTGATAATTCTGTTGGGTATGCAACATTTTGCACAAACTGGCCAAATTAGTTCTCCAGTTACAACAATACACATGCTTGTTTAAAGGACTTGGTTCCACCTTATCGGCTCAAGGATTTAGTAAGTCATTCAAGGCCATAGCTTAAGGCTCATACTTTGCATGAAAATAGATTTAGGTGGGTCTGAAGCAGCAGAACAAAGTTTTAGTCCATTGGCACCTTTAAGACCAACAAAGCTTTATTTTGAGTAGAAATTTACATGTGCATGCACACTTCTTCAGATACATTGAAACAGAAGTTAACACATGCACATGAAACGTATACCCAGAACAAAACTTTGTTGGTCTTAAAGGCGCCACTGGACTCAAACTTCAAATGAAAGTTATTCCCAGACAGGTTTGATTATGCAGAGCAACCTATCATGGCCTATCTATTCTAGCTTGGCCTCCTCTAGGGCTGTGGGGACTCCAGAGCAATCCTAAGCATGTGCACGGGTGAATCATCACCTGCTACTATCTGGAAAAGACTTCCAGGTGAGTTTGAGCACCAGGGCCCTCTCACCACAGAAAGTCAGCAAGTGCCCAAATATCTACACAAAAACATGATTCAGGTGTTTACAGCATAGTTTAAGGTCACCACGCCACTGATCAACATGGCCTTCATTACAGTGATGCTGTGCTATTGATGTCAATAGCTCCTGTTGCCATCACGTGGATGCTTCTTAAGGGACAGTTTCAGTAATAAACACACCAGAAGTTGTTTACAAAGCCAACTCTTGGCTGTATGTTCCCATGTCTATGAGACTCCAGCCTACCCATTAGATCAATTACAACACAATGAGTTTGGCCAGTATTACCTATTGTAATCTAACAGCAAGTGTATGGAATGTATTCCATGTGCCCAGGCAAGAAACGTGGAGCTTCAGATTCCATTGTCTGCAAATGCTGCATTTTTATTGGCGATCAGCCATTCTTCCAGCCCCAATCACCAGACAAAAGCATGGCCATGCATTAATGTCATAACTTTCAGACATCTATATCATAGTGCTCTCCATGAGGGAAAGGGTAATATTCTATTCTTCTGATACTGCCCTAAAATGAAAATTCTAAGCACATCTGTAGTTCCTGTAGCATGGTTCTTTTGGCTAGAAAAAAGTGGGTGTTTAGAGCTCCACTGGAGTGTCTGACAAGTCAGTGTAGAGAACAGTATTTAATCCAAAAAAGCACCAAGAAAAGCATAGGGACTTTAAAAAATGTTTGCTCTATTTGTAAAAGGAATGTTAACTGCTTTTATAAACAAACAAAAAGATTTCTACTTTACTCATTGAATTAGTGCTTGTAGACAATTGAGAATCCAAAATGACAGCTTCTATTGTTCCAGCATATGGCAGACAGGCAACCCCGCCGACAGCTTGAAGCAGATGCAAGCTATTGACTCTCTATCTGCATATTTCCAAGGCAATCATGTCTGGAGTTTTGAGGCTGAAGTCCTGGTTGGATCTCTTAGCAAACATGAAATATGTTTTATAGGCTGGAATGTGACTGAGTGAAAAGATTAAGGACTTGCAAAAGAAATTGCTTTTGTAAAAGTTGTACAACTACAGGTGCCAAGGATTAGCAACCTAGTGTTAATACTAATGCCAGGCATCTAAACCTGTAAAGCCATTTTAATTTTTTATTCTTCATTTCTGAATGTTCGGCTGGCTGGGCACATGTGCCACCTCCTTTTAGTGCCTGACAAAGGCCACCTACTATAAGAGAGCTCATTACATATGCAGCTCTTCAGTCCTGCAAGCTGTTGCCATGAGCAGCTGTTGCAATGGCTGGGTGAAAGGTCAACTCATCAATTCAAAAGGAAGACATACCCTTTGTCCAGCCACCATCATTGTGTAGCTCTAACATGTTCGGCTAACAACACCCATCTGTAAGCCGCTTCAGTTTTAATATGCATTGAAATTGTTACTTTCTAAATCACTGAAGGTTGAAGCACATGCTTATCTCTACTAATTATGAAACTGCACAAACTTGTTGCAAGCCATTCTGATTAGCTCCAACTCATTTCAGTGGTGCACTCAAGGTGTACAAAGCATGTGCTTTTACAAGCACACAAAGTAATACGAAGTAAATGTGCACACACAGCTCAAAGTGGTTTACATTTTGATTTAGGAAATAAACCTAAGCAAGACTACTCAGAACAAAGTCCCAGTTTATTAAATGGGCTTATTCCCAGGAAAGTTTTTAGAATTGCAAAGTCCATTTAACTCTCTTTAGCTGTGGGCTTAAAGTAGCACTTCCTTAGCTCCTGTCATTTCGTTAGTTTAATGCGGATTCACACAACTTCAGTTTGCTTTATAAATCCCCCCTTCACAAGCAAAACCACCACCACATGAAATTGGTTTTCAAGAAGTTTATTACAAAATGTAGAAGCTCCTCCATAGCAGCGTGAATTCAGTTTTAAAAAAATTATTGCAAAATTGGTTATTAATGCAGAACATAGTCCATAAGTCCTTCAGTACATCAGTAGGCATCAGAGTCTCTGTAAAAGTACCAAAGATTACTACAGTTCCAGCTTCTCTTGTTGTGGAGCTCTGGACACCCCCTAACAGCAGTTCTTGGTTACAATATTGTGTCCATACATTCCCATGCCACCTGTGTCCAGTTTTCCGATTTTTCTTCCCTGCTTTCTAACACAACATTCCACCTGACCTGGAAACCTGCAGGTTTTTTTTTTCCTTCTGTACCTAAAAACTTGCAATTCTTCCAACTCCACAAGTATGCCAGCTTTTCCAGCGCTGCAGCATCGTAGGGATTCACCATTGGCATTAGCCATTCCCCTTTTCACCTTTTCTCCTGTCTCCACAAGAACACACCACGTGTTGTCCCGGCGACTTAATCCAAGCTGTTGACTTGGCTAATCCACAGAATCAGCCACTGGTGGGGTTGCCTGGGTGTGCAACTCCACGATGAGAATGCAACAAAAGGCTTCCAACCTCTCCTGTGCACTGGACGGTCATCACTCAGGTAGGGTGATATTGGGCACCCAGTCATTGACATTCCGACTCTCCTCACAAAACAAGTTTAGTTTTTCCAAGGCTGGATCTTTCCAGGCATCCTCATTAGGATTCTACAACACAAAACCAAAGAACAAGGATTCATGAGTGACAATCTTTGTAATCACATCTGACTTTTTCTTAGATTGTGGCAAGAAACAAATTGCTTACTTAGTGTTAAGTACATAGCTTAGTTTTGCACAAAGTTTAATGCCCATACAATATGGCGCCAGAACTCCCAATGCATTCAAAAACTATGTAAAACTGACTTGAGAGGTAAGCATGGTCTAAATTTGCTCTGCCTAATGCTTTACTTGAGGATATTTCAAGATGTCACTGTTAAGCGAGACTCTGCTGAGGAGACCATATCCTTTATCTGACTTGAGCCTTGTCTGAGGCACAAATTAAAAGGCCAGAGACACCCGAGCCTTCCACACAAAGCAAAGCAGGCTGGAGATGCCGGCTCAGAGCAGCAAGAAGTGCCTGGCTCAGAGGGGGAGGAGAGGCTCACCGTTATGAGGATGCAGTGGAGATCTCGGGGCTCTCCAGCCTCCTCACTGGCCCCCAAGATGCTGGCCAACTTCTGGATGTCGCTCACTCTCACAATGTCAATGTCGTTTTCACAGCAGAACGCCTGGATAAGGGTGAAGTGGATCTGGAGGGCGATGTCCCCCTCGTCCTCCTCATCCGCCGCCAGCAGGCAGAAGGCCACCGTGTCGGGATCGCTGCAGAAAAAGAAGCGCCAGCCATTAGCCCCCCGCGTTAGGATTCCCCGGGCCATCGCGCCACGTGAACCCCGCCGTCCGCTCCCCCCGGAGAAAGGAACGGTGGTCCCCCGGGCCGGATACTCACACATTCATCAGCTTGGCCGACTCGTAGACGCCCGCCGTGAGGCAGCCGCGGCGCTGCGAGGAGACCAGCAGCTCGTGGAGGGCTTTGCCGGCGCTCTGCATCCTGCTGCCGCTCGGGGCGCTGCTGTTGGAGCTGCTGTAATCGGAA